GAAAATTACCCCCACTCCTTCTATTTTTTTCTGACTTCTGCGGCGTAAATCCCAGCGCGGCGTATTTGCCGGAGTTACCCTATATTATAGAAAAAATCCTGGAGATATAATTAAATTAAGTTTTTGTTTTCAAACTACACGAGAAACTAGTGACTCAAAATAAATATTCAAGGTTTCTTTTTCCAAATTATTCAAAATATTTTTATAAAAAATAATTGCCTATACAGAGCTTTAAACTTCGAGCTCATACATCTACATAATATTCATCGGTGATCAATAAAAACAATTTTCTTGCTTTATAAACATTTTTGGATTGTTTCTTGATGTTAATTTCAAATTATATTATATGTATGTATGTGTATATATATATATATACAACATTTTTATATTAATATTTAAAAAATGTTAGCAAGCTTTTGCCAGCAACGATATACTGCATCAATAACACATCAATTAATAATGCATTATTTATGATTATGTTATTCATGTGTAACTAACTAAAGTTAGTTTGCACTGCGTCCAAACAGTGTTTGTCACAAAACAATTTATAATGAAAATAATTAATATTCCTTCATCAAATGTTAAGCACGCAAACCAACAATACATGCTTCAAGTTGAAATAAATATAAATTGCGTAAATACTAATTTAACATTCCAATATGGAATCGTAGCGCAAAAATAAGCGCTAACTTTATTAATTATATAAAATGTCGTAATTTTTTCTGATAAAGTTCGCTATGATAACGGCGAAAATTTAATCAAATAACACAGTACAGGAGATACGGGTTGATGAAAAGCGATATACAATTATAATCACTTGCCACGACAAACGCGCCTAGCTCGTTAACCTGATCATTTCGACGTAGCCGGGAGTTAACGAGAATCGTTTGTCCGACGATGACGGTACGTACAAGTAAAGCTCCGGCGTTTTCCGACGACTCCACTGAGGATAAACTCATCGGTGAACACGTCGAGAATATTGAGATGCGTGCAAAAGGTTTTCACGTTTCCACGCACCGCCGGCATCGTGGAGTAACTTGACGCCGATTAGCGTTGCGCCCTATTCGCGTCGCGACGCCTGGCGTTGAACGCGTCAGTAGACGGCGAGCCGTGTTACACGACGGACGTCGGGCGCAACGTCGAGTTCTACTACTTTTCACGACCTAAGCGATTCCGAACGGTACTCGCTCCGCTGCTTAATAACTTTTGAGTGAAACGGAGAACGACATCACGCGGAAATATCGTTGTGTGTTAGGATTGTTTTTTTCCACGACGAGAGAAAAACGAAGAAAATTTATCGCGTAAAGTTCAAAGACTAGGAAAAATTAGGGTGAGATTTATTTAGGTGAGAGCCTCTAATGTCAAGGTAGAGATATAGGAGAAGAAAGATCTTATCATGAATCGTCGTCTTCTTTCCGTCCCAAATAAATATAGAGATCAGCACGTCTATAGTGGAGTTCTAACCTTGTTAGAGCTATATCAATATCCTTATTCAAACAACGTAGAAATGTGCTGAATATCCTGACAGTATACATTAAAGAGGATTGTCTGACAATGAGAATAACAAACTGTTAATATAAGATTCAAGCGTGGGTACACATGTGACGCACTTGAATTTTTAAAGAACGCTTTGAGAAAAATTTACCGGATCGCGATATCATACTATTAGTAAAGGAACAAATGAAAAAAGCTTTTCTATTATTTTCTTCTTTCCTGAATCGATACGATCGTAAACGGTCTTTTGGCATTTATGGCCCGTCTTTAACACATTCCGGTGATTCGCTGAGTTGTCGGTCGTATTGCGACATGATACCTCGATGCTAACGTCGTAGACAGTATTCGTGAGTAAAACGACTCGCGCGCAATACTGCGTCCTATTAGCTCGGAGTCGAATGAATAATCGGCATTGATTCGCTCGCTATATTACGGCGTATATTTTATCATTAATTCGCCATTTTTACCCGACTGCATTCCCGGTATATGGACGAGAATAGGTTTTATTCAAATGGAATGACCATTAAGTATTCGCATATGCGAAAATGGGACAACGCGACGCTTTCCACGCGGTCGGTGATTGTTATAATTAATTTTTAATTTTTAATAAGTTGCATAAATAGCCCGTCGTTTTGCGCGAATAAAATATCAAGTGATTTAACATTGACGTTAAATTCATTTAACATGATAAAACCTTCTAAAAGCGACCTGTAATTATAGAATGATACAGAACAACAAAGCATTATTCAAGTTGAGAGCTTGTACATATCGTGATCAGCATTAAACAATGTGCTAATGATATTTTTTATCCACTCACAACTCTGTAAATTTTACATTTTAATAACCATTTCCGATTTATTAAAAAAAAAACAGCAGTAAGATTTTTGTGATTTTTGTGAAGACATGTGCGTAAAGTTGTTCGTTTCCTAATTATGATGTAAACAGAATGCTATCCTTATTTTTTTCAATTTTTTATTAAGGATGATATTTATATTATTAATTATAATTAGGAAACAAATAAATAGGACTTTAATATATACGTTCATATATCAGAAAAACATTACTGCTGTTTTTTTTTTCATTTAATTTCTTACGTAAATATGTGAGTTACAATCTACTTAAATCTGTGAATCTCAAAGAATTTATGATCCATATACTCTCACAAATTTGATTTATCGCGCGCGCGATTCTTTTTTTTAGAATAATATAGACACTCACACTATTCAATTAATACAAAGATAGATTTAGTGGATCTAAATTAAAAATAGCCGAACTTATCTGACCTATTTGTGATATTTTAAAAAGGGGATATTTTGGGAAAATATTTGCTTCAATGTTGCAGTTAGAAAGGAATAACCAGTCGATCAGCAATAATGAATGCATAATGATTGCGTAATTTATATCGTCGTTGGAGCAAGTGCACTTTGATCCTTGACTGGACGATGAATACGCTTTGCGTCTCGTTTGTGCAATTCAATGCTGTTATATTTACCAAATCGCGGTCAAGCTAGTTTCAGGTTTTGTTTGTTCTCGTTGTTTCTCGATGAATTCTCAAGATGGAGTTTACATAATTCCAGCCTAATCTAACTTATTCCACGAACTTCCTCAATTTCGTGTGCCATGACAAAAAACGCTCGCAAATCCAAATGTCGTCGCCTTTTCGAGGCAAAATGATTGGTTGAATTTCTTTCAACTTTACCGTGAGCAATTTAAAAAAATCGTGTAGTGACGTTGAATTTTCGGAATGCGATAATTATAGAAAGTACGGTATTTTGCATCATTAATAATGTTTACTATTCCGATCAATGACGTTCAATTCTTGGTGCTTACTACTATAAATTCACCGCTCGACAATTTCTATAATTACGCAATAACGCAGAGATCGTAAAATCGATCCCAGACGAATAACGCGGCCTGTTGCATCATGTATAGTTTACATTGCAGAATATCATAATCTGACTAGGTCATGTAGATGTAAACAAAGCTTTAAAGTACTCTGTAATAAAGTGCTTACTATTTTTAGATATACAGAAGATTGGAAAATGCACTCTCGCGTGAAGTTTAGTTCTAAAGAATTCACAAAATTTTGAGTGCAACATGCAGTATGAAGATGCATAATATATAGGAAAAAGGTAAGAAGCTTGGAATAAACAAAACTTCATCGCACTTCTTTGAAACATTCCATAAAATCCTCGAAAACTGTTACATTTCGTATTACAAATATTTTATTGAAGTTTAAATGAAATTTTCTTTAATTGAATTTTAAATAAGTTTTATACATAAGTAAATAAGTACAAAAGTCTCTTCCAAGTCTCTTAGAGCGAAGATAGTACAAGTATTAGTATAAATTCTCATAACCTCTATAAAGCTCGATCTATAATACATAGCATGCAGAACGCAGGTAGCAGGTTGCAACTTGCAGTGTGTTTGCAAAATTATACTATATACTAATTGCACTAATTAAAATAATGTTTGAGTACACATATTCATTAAAAATTTTCCTGTTTATATAGTTTAGTTTTATTGAAATACAGCTTTATTTAAATTTTTTGTTTGGTAACTTACGTAAAATTCGAAAAAAATATAAAAATAGACGTAAAATTCGAATAAAATATAAAAATAGACGTAATTGACTCGAGAAACAATTATGAGACAATAATAGCTTCGTGTTTGAAAGAGGATCCGTTATTTTAAAGTCGATAGTCCACGCAAAGGATAATGCAATCGAATGAAGCAGATTACATGAGCGGAATTACATGCTGTATATGTGCACATACGTGTGCACCGACGAACCAGCAAATAGACTTGTGCCCTTTGTCTGATCTACCGAAGTCCGATTTATTGTTCTTTTCTACGTCGTGAAGACCAAATGTCAGCCATGAAAACGTCTTTTGTGATATGCCCCCCGTACAAGGAAATGGCCAACCTTCACTGCAAAACTTTCGTATCTTGCTTCTTTCTCTTAAAGTTATTTTAAGAAAGAAAAGGATTACCAAACAACAAGAAAACTTCGGTAAATATTCCTTGTATTTCCATTTGTAGAAACTGCTAAAAGGAAAATTATTCTTTTGTTAAACGCGAAAATTAATCTTTTGTTAAACGGCGCTTATCAAGACAGGTAAATAAAACGATAATTAACCGAGATCGATAGGATAGGATAACCTTCACGATGTTAGGATTAGATATTTAACATCTTGATTGCAACGTGACATTGTCTGTGTCACCAGTACTTTGCCATCAAAGCCGGTGTCCTACTTCTTTACTGACTTCACTTTATTATTTTCATCAACGCATTACGTGCATTACCATCTATAGTAGTTTAGACAATATAAATAGTAATATGGATATGAGTTTGTATGTCGCGCAAGTTATTTCGCTACAGTAGTTTATATGCGGAAAACATCATAATTACTATTATGTATCTATATTACGAGAAAATATTGATCAAATTTCTGTTACACATTGCGTCCCGTTTCATCATATGGTTCTATTCTTACATAAAATAATACGAACGCTGTGCTAATGTCACCTTTCAAATCAAACTGACCTTGTTACATAAATAATAAGGCTGATGAGTAATCACTATTTTTATAATTCATAATTATTCTGTAAACCATCATATAAAATCGTATTTACCTGAAGTGTAAACGCATACACAGTTCTTAGAATTTTTTCTTTTTTATACTTAACATGCTCAAATTCAAGTAAATATATAACAGCGCATTATTTTTACTGCGCAGTAAAAAAATACTCATATAAATATCACGTTATGAAAATTTATGCAATCATAATTAAAAAGTTAACGAGGTAGTGTTAAATTCTTAATACATTGTTGAACGACAAATTTCACGCTAGAAGTTTCACGATGATTTTACAATCTACATTGCATAATGTATAACTATGATAATAAATGTTGCAAAATATTGAAATCGGCATGTATCGAATATTTGCGGCAAGATTAAAGTTACCTCATTTTACGCGCGGAAAAACACAATTTCTGCGCAAATTCGATTTATAATCGGTACAGAAATACGTTTGTGTGATTTAATCTTTTAAGCTTGATCAACGTGACGAATTCCACAATGCACTTGGCGCAACCTCAGCTCGTTCTCTTCCTTTATTGCGATCGTAAATCATCGTTCATGGCAACCTTCTCGTAATATGCTTGTGACATTGGTAAACTTGAAGAAATATTTTTTGGGATCATATATCGCATCAATCGACGAATTATCTAGGTCATTGTATATTGTCACAATACATATTCATAATGTTACCTTGCAAAGTGATATTTCATTACACAGTTAATATCATATTGAGCACTTATGAATTAAAGCAAATACATCTTTGCTCTCTCACAAGAAATAAGTTTAGAAACCTCCATCTTATAATTTTCGTAAGTCCCATTTCTCCAAATAATCCAAATTTCGTTAAAATTTATTTTTCTTAACAATCTAAATAATCTCCATTCGTAAATCCACATATCTATTACACAATTAATCGATCGAATCAATCAAATTAAAGTTAAACAACAATTAAAATTTATTTACAAAGAGCAAAGAAAACTTATATCTATAATGAAAAACTTATATTTCATGATTTTTATAAAGTTCGTTTATTCAAATAAAATTTCGTAACGATATATATTTTTTTTAATTAAATTGGTTTCCATTTGTTTCCAAACTCCATCGATCAAGTTCTAATGACTTTCGATGTCGAAACTAAAAGAAAGTGCTTTGTTTTTCTAAAAAAGTACAATACACGCATGCACAGCACGGTTCTCGAATAAACGCCGTTTATTTTTAAAACTGCTATTTCGAAGTCAATGGTGATCCATATAATGCGTCCAAAGTAGTGCACGATGAAGATGGATTTCGCGGTGGAGTTCAATTGCGTAGTCAGGATGATGTAATGCACGGAATTCCGCGATGAGGGCAAATAAGCAATAAAATTTTCTCTTGATATTTCAAGAGAGCAGATTTCTTTTAATGTCAAAACTCTCTTCTCTCTTTTCTCTCTTTTTTTGCGTCAACCAAATATTTAATTAGCGTCGTCCTTCAGGTAACATAAAATAATACTCTTAAAGTACACTCCTAAAATTTAAGAGAAAATCACAAACAGAATCGCTTCATATAATCTTTCCTATTTTCTAAATTTGATAACCTTTATATGACGATACGATCGGGACCATATTTACTCCAAAAGAAATTGTCATCCCCTTTCCGCGATTTTCTCTTTCTTATCAAGATAACGCTACCGTTTTTTCAACTCATCGTTTTACCAGCTTATGCCTAATTTCTTCACTTTCAGATAAGTTGCGATAACTTTATCCAGGAAATATCTCCATTGTAATCTGGGAGATATCTCCTGGATAAAATTATCTAGAGGTGAAGAAATTGGGCATTAATCGTAAACAATGACATAAATATTATAATCAATTGTCTTATAGAAGTTACTGTTCGTCGCACAAAGCATCAATCAATATTGGTTGCGTTTAGCAGAAAAAGCAGCTTTACTGTTATAAAATTCTTTAAAACACGATTAATTTATATTTTTTTAGATCCACTGAGGAACTAAAGGCAAGACCAATCAAATTAAAGAATTTTACAACAAAGCTGTTTTTTCTGCTGAACGTAACCATGAGTGGCAGCTACGTCTTTTCATAATCACATAAAAATATTTTCGCGCAATTCCTATTGCGCGTTAGTATGTGCGGACGACAATGGAAAAGTTATTTAAACGAGTTTGAAACTCCTCGAACGTCGGCGCAGCCGTAATGTTGTTCTCGGCAATACGAGATTTACGTTTACCTATCCGCATGCTCATCGAAACTCGACAACTGTTACTAATGAATAAACTGGTAATTAAAGTCGGTTCACATTCCCCGCAAAGTGGGTAGCACAAAATTAAAGAGTTCGAATACCGCCCTAACAAGCTTTACCGCAAACATCCTTCGAGATCCTTTTTATTTATGCGATTTCGAACGAACGGGTTATTACTGCCTCAGTCGATTACTTTTCCGATATCGTCAGGTCATTTTAACTTCTTCAAATATAGTATAGCAAACTTTCTACCATCTCTCTTATATATCGCCCTATTTCAAAGAGCACGGTGACATATGTGATAAAAACACGACGTCGAATCATTCATCATTTGAATAAATTGTTATTTCTTTTTAACATTGTTTATATAACATACATACATGTTTATATACATGTTTCATTGTCTATTATCGAAATACGCGTTCTAAAGGAAAAATTATGCTATAAAAAACAGTTAGAGAAACTTAATTGACCAAGGCTTTTTGTTGCGCTGCATTGTAAAAACTATAACATTTCATCCTCATCTTATACAGAATACTGCGATATTACGATTTTAATTAAGTAAACTTTATGTTTAATATAATCTCTGATAACTTTCATGAACTCCGACCAACGTTGAACGTGCGGTGTATCTTTAAAAAAATCGCGTCTTTCACACATACTTTTTCTTTATTTTTTGTGAATTTATAATTAAATGTTACACATATATAGAAGTTCCTTATATATATAAAACACACACATATTGTATATAAAACGATGAACACAATCTGTCAAAATAATCTGATTATCTCGAAGCTGTACTCGGGTATTAAGTACGAAGTACCGTGAGATCCGGATCAGAAGGACTTTCTGACATAAAGGAATACGTATGAAAGCACAATTTCATGAAATCTGCAACTGAAATGCATATCGTAGCATAGTATCGTACCATAGTATCGTATCTAGTGCCAAATTACATCCACATGATTTTCACAAACTTCGGCATTACTACGCAAATTTTCTTTCAGATTTCTTGCTGATATCAATATAAATCATAAAGAAAAAGAGAATTTATCGCAGATTGCAATGTTCAAAAAAAAAAAAAGGAAAACGCGTTTATTATTGAAAAAAATAAGTAATATAAAAGTAAAAATTATTTCTACAGCGTTTCATGTCGAAATATCGAATTCATCAAAATGGATAAGCAAAGTAAATGGAGAAATAAATTACACGATAAAAAATATATTTCTCATTACTTATATTTTTCCGTTATTTATACGACTTGCTACAATTTGTATTATTCATTTTATGCTGTATAATTTTTATATATTACTTTTGTAAATTAGACTGGGTTAAAATTAATTCTGCTCTCGAAACAGTCTGAATAATCTCATTTTGAACGTTGGCACCAGTTTTCTATACATTTTCCACGAATACTATATTTAGCTTCAAAGCGATTCAAATAACACACATTTATATATTTTTTCATGAGATCTCTTGCGCAAGTTATCTTTTTAATATTATATGTTTTCCAAGTAGTTTTTAAGTTGCATTTTATATATGTAAAATATTCATTTAAAATACTTGTTAAAATACTTCTGTAAAAATTCATTTAAAATACTTCTTATCTAAATATTATTTTATTTTCTCTCTTCGACTACTATTATTTCATTATAAATAAAAGTGTCTTGATATTTTACTCAAATAAAACAATCTTTATTTAAATAAAAATATTTTTATATATATGTTGTACGTAAAATTTGTATACATGATGTTAACATTATAAGGATACGTGTCTCTCTCTCTCTCTCTCTCTCTCTCTCTCTCATCATTCAAATTAAAATTCAATAGTGATGCATGCGTAGTCATTACTGCGTTTCTGATTTTTCATAACTAATTAAATTCATGACATATTGCTATCGTTATCTTACGTTATTATCGATCCTATTGATCACAGCATGTATCTTCAATTGCTATCATATACACAGATTACGTTGATAAGTCACTAGGGATAGTCAGATAAATTTAGAAGCGTTATCTAAGTAACTCTACATGCAGTTCAATTCATTGAAAACTCTTAACTGTATTGTTCATAGTTATATTATCATCAGTTAGACATCTTCGAATACTGACGCTGAATACTAATGGATTTTCTCGACCCGAACACGAAATTTAATGTCAGTCGAAGTCAGATATCGCGTAAAGATCTTTAATTAATAGAGTCGAATAGCGGCATAATTCATCGGAGATGCTTTCAACACGTTATTATATTTACCCTTATTAATTAAATATCTTATCGTTTATGGAAATAATTATATATTGGATAACTATTTTAAAATGATCAAAATGGATATCATTTAATTTGTATACATATAATAAGCAAGATAATTCTGAAAATTTTCTGATTTATAATTAAAATTTAATTCCAATAATTATGATTTAAACAGAAATTAAAATGAGAATAAAAAACATATATGGAAAAGGAAAAAAAATTAAAAATAAAATATTGAAATGGATAAAAATTTTGACTCTTTCTTTATAGACTGATAATGCTAATCTTAGACTGTTGTACATTCGCATACAATTAAGCACGAAATCAATTTCTTATTATTCATCTTTCCGTTGAAAATGATTCGAAAGTAAATTAAAACGCATAGACGGCTTTTAAATATTGTATGTTTTGCTAATGATAATCAACTATTAAATTAATATATTTCACGAGATTTGCGCACTAATTACCGTACTGATTCCTCTAATATCCTGTTTTACTTTTTCTCTTATTTAATATTAAGAGTCCTTGTTCGATTTATTTATGAAATTTAAAAAATTATACCTAATGTGAATATATTACGGTAGAACAATCTCATCTAAAAGATACCACTTAGCTGTGGATATAAATAATTAAACTTCTTCCATAAGCATTTAATTTCTATACGAAGAGAATTATTGGGCGCAAAGAATTGCGGAGGAATCTTATTATCCACTATTCGAACAAGAAAAGGAAGTTCTTATTAACCGTCACTAAAAGTCGAGAAATTTCTTCGCTTAACTTTCTTAATCCAAGTTTTGAGTACGATCGGCTCATTTTATAGAGTTTTTGTGACATACGTTCTAACCATTAGCTTTTTTAATGTTTTATTAAACGTCAGAATTAATTAATTTTGAAAATAGACATTAATAAAAATGTTATGTAAATGAAGATTCAAATATAGTTTCTTACATAAAATATCATTGTTATAAAAAAAGTGATATAAAAAATATCATAGTCAACTTTCAAAATTATAAAACAGTGATAATTTGTCAAATAAATTTATAATTTATTTTCTATTAATTTCTTCACTCTTTCTATTATTTTAGATTCTATATAAATGTCTAAGTAAAAATATATCAAATATTTGCTGAATCATAGTTTTTTTTTTACTAAAAATAAGAAAGTAATAAAGAAATTTTTGCAATGAGAAAAAGCGTCGCCATATATGTTTAAAATCAAATTAATTAGATTTTATTAGCAAATAAATTGATTAACGAAAATATATTTCTGGAGATTTTGATTTGTTCCTTTTACTTTTTTGAAATATGTATTTACTTGTTATCTTTACACAGTATTTCATGAATTCACACAATATCTGGATAAAAGAGAAAGCAACATAAAGTTTTAAAAAGAATATTTTTTTCACTCACTACCAGTCCAATCCAATACTCTCTCTTTTATCAAATTTACGTAGCAGAACTTTAATAGAACACGTGTATAACGATCAGTTAGGTATACTAACAGAACCTTGACACGAGCCCTTTCATCGATTCGAGTGTTCAGGATATTCCTATTTCCTGCCACGCGAAGATCACCGAAATCAGATCTAATTCTATGAAGGAAATTCAAAACGAACGGAATGATCCAGCGCGAAACTATGCTCCGTGAAAACAGCAAAAAGCAATTCTGATAAAAATGTGGTATTACGTCGTTTGAGCAAAACACAAATAAAAAGCTTCAGTCAAAGCCGTAGCGCGTGTAAGTGGTGTATGTGAACGAAATCAAGAGAGTGTGTGCGTGATCGTGTATTGCTTATTGGGCCTCTGCTGTGGCCGTACTAAAACGAGAAAGGACGAAGAGATGGCGGAAAACGGCAGTCATGTCACACCAAGTGAAGCCATCGTGGTTCAATCCGACGACGAGGAGCAACGAAAAGAGCTGTATCCTAACACGGTAAGTATTATAATTAATTCCGCCGGAGAATGCGAATGAAATAACGAGGAAATTGCAAATTACAACTGTCCTCACTTGGAAATGTGACGTCAATATCGTCAATATTTCGTTAAAGAAGAAAGCAAAAATACGAAATAAAATAGAAACCTAAAATGTCAAAATGAGAAATATACGTGAAAGTCAAATTTAAAATATTTTTCGCAATAAATTATTTGTAGATTTAAGATTCTTATTAACATATTAATATTATAATTAATATTCTAATAAAAATGTTTATTAGCATAAAAATTATTAAACTGTTTGTCAATTTAATAAATGATATTATTACTCTGGTACTGCTTATGACTGTTTCAAGATCGAAAAAGATTTCGAAAAAGAATCAGATATATAAATAAATTCATACAGAAATATTTAAATCCACTTTGAACGCGAATATAAAATTTCTCTTATCTATTTAGATTTATTCTTATCGGTCCAAATTTGTATCATAATTATTTATTAAATTTAATATTTTAATAATTTAATAATTGACAGAATGTAGCTCATAAATTAAAAAAAAATTTAATATTTATTTTTAATAAAAGAGACATAATTATTGTACTATTTTGTATTTCTGCTTCTTCTTCTGTTAATCTTTTATCATTTCCATTGCTAAAATTTGGAAGTAATATAAATTCTTAACGCTTTAAAATTCTTTAAAAATCGCCAAAAAAAGTAAGAGGAATCCGGGAGACTTGATCATATGGGAGAGTTGAACTATTTCAAATATCTCATTTCAAGCAGTTGTCAAACCGCGACGTATGGATCGTGCCATTTTGATTTCACGTTTCTCGAAACATGACAAATAGTTGCCGGCTTGATAACCGTGCACTTTGCACGAAATTTAAATGAGAAATTTGAAATAGTTTAATATGGTCTCTCATAGTCAAGTCACTCGGACTTCCCCTATATAATGGAAAAGTTTTTAGTACAGTTACTAAGTTTGTAATTTTTCATTAAAAAATACAACTTTATTCTAAAGTGTTTTCTATTTATATACATACATAAAATATATATATGTAACTAGAATATCTAAATAAAACTTATTACATTGTAATTGTTAACTTGACATGAATCTAAAATTAGAAGTCAGCATGAATTCAGTTAATTTTCTTAACGTGCTGTACTCGTGTCAGGAAATTAAATGAGAAGTAATTCTACAGGTTCCCTCGGATTTTCTTGTACAGGTGGAACGTAGGAACATTACGGTGGACAACTGCGATTCGAAAAACGATAGGACGGATGAGAAAGAAGACGAGAACAATCATCGGGTAGAGACAAAATCGAATCGAGCACAAGAATTACAAATACAGATGCAACCGCAAATACAGCAGACTGACACACGAGGTGACAGGTGAGCACGCGATCCTTCAATAAATCGAACCGGAAATGTCTTGTTTCTTGAAAATTTTAACAATACTATTGACAATCAGATATTACATCTTCAAAGCGAGCATATTTATCTCGAGGGTAAAAGTTCCGATTAGGGGACTCCCTCCAATGACCTTGACCTTGACATATATTGTCAAGGTCATGACCCTGAGTAACCTTCAACAGGTTTTAGCCGTCGCTCGTCCTTCGTTAAAAAGTTATTAACAAAAAAAGTTTTACTATATATCGCAAAAATTCTGTACTTTAAAATAAATACACACACATATGCATACACACACACACGGGAGGGACTCTATCGACGGGGTGAGTACGGGAGGGGGTGGGCCGTAGGCCCTTCCTGGTGGTACCTTCCTCCCCCCTGCAAAGGGGCGCGCGAATCTCACCCTCGACTCTCACCCCCCCCCTCCCCCCTGCAAATGGGCACAATTGAGAGGGGGTCCCCTAATCGGAACTTTTACCATCTCGAATAATTTTTATTTCCCGAAATATTAAAACAATAATAAGTTTCCAAGATTCAATAATTATGATAATTTAACGGTGATCTATTTAATAACAACTAGCATTATATGTACATATATTTGGAGATGCGACATAATAGATTGATTACAACGTCATGACAAATAGTAGACTGAAGAAAGCTTTTAAGAAAAGTCGCGCTATCGTGAACTTTTTCCACAGCGATATTTTTCCTTGACGGGAACTTTGGGAAGTTACAAACAGTCAATCTTCTCAAGATACGTGTCATATGATCGTACAAAAATAGGACTGACACAATTCGGTATGTCAATATGACTAATTGATAGATAGGATTAAGTTACGCACAAATTCAGGGCACGTTAAGTCTATAATACACAACTCATATTCAATGTAACAAAGACATCAATTATTCTAATTGCATTAGGTAATTAATTTCATATTAATTAATTTTGTTAAATATTTATTGTTTAATACTATAAATAAATATCAATAATAAACATGATTACAACAACACAAAAATATAATTAACTTTTATTTAAATTGCATAATAAAATTATAAAATATTAGTAAATTATATTACTAAGCCGCTGAGAGAGAGAGAGAGAGAGAAAGTGAAATTAACATTTGTATTTTAAAAAGAAACAAATACCGTTTAATATTTCTAAAATAACTGACATTCAATCTACTGAATTAAAGTATAAAACTACTTCAAATTAAATTGAATTTCACGTAAAGCAATGTCAAGCATCGTAAAGACCATGTTTCATTGCTAGATTCTACAAACGATTTTATACGATCTTATATCTAATAATTATGCTGGGAAATTTGAGAGGTTCGGAGATGGTATCAGAGCATTAGGTCCACACGCGCCACGGCCTCAAAATCCTTAATACATTCACGTACCTATGCACTTACATGTTATCGGATTAATTAATTCTGATCGCTCAATGATCTTAGTCGCGAAATTTGCAACTATCGAAGTTACACGATTCGATGACTAAAATAGACTAATAGACCCTTGTGTATGGTAATACTATACCTCTATCACAAGAATACAATAGCAAATCATATAAAGTCCTCTTTAATTAATATTTGAAACATTATATATAAAACAAATCAAGAAATCAATCAATAGATAAATTATTAATTAAATTTCTTTTCTGATTTTTTATATTCTCTCTTCAGAGCTTTATTAGTTTATAGTTTATAGTTTAGAACTTTAGAGCTTAGAAGCTTTAGAGCTTAAAATTAGAGCTTTATAGTTTATATAATATTTGTTATTTCATCAATAGAATATGCTTCATTATGCATTCCGTTTTCACGTTCACACGCTGTAAGCATCAGTTTATCATTATTGTCTATCAAATATTAAACAAAGACAAAATGATGCTTTTAAGCACCTTATAAAATACGTATAGAGATTATCGAATATTAGATAAGAGTACGAAAAAAAGGACGAAGAAATGAAAAATGAAAAAAATTTCTGATTGAAAATGTACGTACCAGAAAATTTTGATCACACCAATCAAAGTTTTGATTATCGCAACTAGAATTATAATAAATTCAACCAGAAAATTCCGATTTGTCTATTTTTAATTTAAAATTCTAATTAATGCAACTCTTTTTTTATTTCAGTGTAGAACAATGTTTTCATTTAGTCAGTTGCAAGTTGAATGTATTTAATCATAGCAAATGTTGAATATGAACATCCAGATTATACATTCACGTATTCTGCATACGATTATATTCATGCTGAGTCTTAACTCAAAAAGATAATCACTGTTTTTAACTTTCTGAAACTCGATCTCGAGCTAAATAGAAATGAAAATTAAATATTCCATTATATAGTTTGTAATAATTAATTCATAAGAAGTAAATAATTTCGAGAATGTTCAAAATGTTATAGTAAAATCATTATATTTTACAAAATATTCATAAAAACCTTTCTTTCGAAGCAACGTTGGATAAAATATGATATTTAATATGATATTTTATGTCTTTCATGTATTTCTTTCTACTGAAAAATGTTAATTTAAACCAAGCCAAAATAATAAAAATTAAATAAATAACATTTTCTACAAAAAAATAACGAAAATTTCGAAAAATTACAAAATTATTTTTCTTTATATCAACTAAATAGTGGAAAAAATAAAATGTATTATTGCAACTGTACAATTTCACAAAGAAATGATAAATAAAAGAATTATTATGCAGATTAAGAATCCGTAGCATGTAAATAGAATTCATAAATATCAATAAAATCATCTATAGAAGCATTTCTCCAACAGAATTACTTTTCCAACAGAGTGATTTAAATTGATGTTCAACTTGCAGCCTTTAGCGAGTTTATTAATGTGTTTTCGTCAAAATACAGAATAAACTGTTAGTTAATTATAACAAGCTAATTAATTCATACGCGGCTATGAAGCTTCGCGACGACCGAGTATAAATTGAAATTTAAGCATTGTACTAAAACAACACGCGATTTTGCGCATTTCTGTTGTCGGCCATCCAGGTTAAATTGAAAAAGTCGACGATATCTACACTATGGTATCGGCGTAATAAATACGGGGACTAGTGAAATATGCATCTAAATTGGAAGTGTCGAAACGATTTACGGATTTGCAAAAATCCCAGATTCGAAGAGATGGATATCGCTTACGTAATCGATAAAATAGAATTCAGCTTGGTATGTGATAAACGCAACGACGTTAACGCCGTAACATCACGTTAAACGAGATTTCTTTAAATACGATTAATTTATTAATATACCAAATCTCGTGGTATATTAATAAATTTATAATCCGCCATGGGGGGGAGATTATAAAATTAACTATAATCTCGAGATTTTCATTATACGGGATTTTCATATCTTGTAGACGTTAAGAGAAAACATTGATGGGATGTAATTATTGAAAGCGGAAAAGCAATAGTAACGCGAAAGAAAATATAAAATAATTTTCTTCGTTATATCATCGTAATTTTAAACTCGATGTTGAAAATAAATCTATAAATTATACTTCATTAAAAATTTTGTACAATATTTCCATCCGCTTAATATTTATGCATTTATAAATAAAGGTCATACTTTTAATGTTAACAGATACACAGAGATGAATTTATATTCAATTACACTGCTGGCATTGATTATTGCAAAATAATTATCGACAAAATATACAAGTTAGTTGAATAATGTTCTCAATACCGTTACCGCTAATAATACGATATTTGTTTATTATCGCGTCGTTAATTTCAATATATATTATTTAAGCACCGCTAGTTTCATTAGTCTTATGCGTTATAAGCTAAACGCCGCTTGCAATGAAGCAGTGCCAACAAACATCAAAATGTATGCAGATTTATACGGTACGCATAATTCAACCTCGACGGGTACAGTAGTATCACTAATAGAGGAAAAAACACAGAAGCTAAAACAGGAAACTCATTACGGTTAACAAAAATACGCATTCTATTTTTGACTATTTAACAGAACAAAAAGAAACAAAAACTTAACAGGACGTTTCTCTACAACATAAAAATAAAACGCTAATAATTAAAAAAAACCAATTTCAGTAATAAAAATATTAAATTAAATTAATTTAATTAAATATTTTTATTACTGATGCTTTTAACGTAAAAATTTTTAATATATGACATTGCGCCACGAATATCCTGCGTGTGGTGTATGCTCTTGTTATTTATTGTTTATATTTATTAAATCACTTTACTTGAATTAATTTAATTAAACGATTACAACTAGTTCACAACAAAAAATTACTTTAAACCGGACCGAATGTTTCTTATAGATTTTTGAATGCTGAAAATATGTGTATGATGTTGCAAGCCAAAAAATTCCAGCACATCCATCTTTCTTAACATAGCTAAAAAGTAAGATTGAAATTTGAAAAAAGTGCATTTTACAGGGGATAAATAATACATTTATGACTTCTGATCAGAATTTCAAAATAACGTTATCTTTTTTACAAAAAAGTTAAAATGCGCGAAAAAAAACCATTTTTGCACATTTTTAGTCTTAATTATTTTGGAAACCTGACGTGCTAGTGCAATTTAACTTACGTCATCGTTTTTAGCATCCAAAAATCGATAAGAAATATTTTGTTTGATTTAAAGAATTAAAAAAAAAATTTTGAATAAATTTTCGCTGATTTTCCGTGAAAAGTAATGCTTTATTTTTAAAAAGTCGTAAAAAACATGTCACTGAAAGTATTGTCCATCGCTAGCCACTACTTTTTCCCATCTTTCTGGCAGCATTTGAATTCCACGTCGGAAAAACGACATGTCTTTTGAGGCTATCCAAGAGTCGACCCATTTTTTGGCATCATCATAAAAATGAAAGTGCTGCTCAGCCAAGCCATGTACCATCGATCGGAACAGGTAATCGAAAGGGGCAATGTCTGGTGAATACGGTGGGTGGGATAGGACTTCCCATTTAAGCGTTTCCAAGTATAGGTTTCATCGGTTGTGCAACATGTGGCCGTGCGTTGTCATGTTGCAAAATCACTTTGTCGTGTCTCTGCTCGTATAGCGGCCGTTTTTCCTTCAATGCTCGGCTCAAACGCATCAATTGTAGTCGATAGCGAGCTCCCGTAATGGTTTCGTTCGGTTTGAGCAGCTCATAATAAATTACACCCAGCTGATCCCACCAAATGCAGAGCAGAAGCTTCGAACCATGGATATTCGGCTTTGCCGACGATGTTGATGCATGGCCGGGCTTACCCCACGATCTTTTACGTTTAGGGTTATTGTAGTGTATCCACTTTTCATCGCCAGTCACGATACGATGCAAAAACCTTTTCCTTTTCTGCCGTTAAAGCAGTTGTTCACACATGAAAAGACGCCATTCGACGTCTCTTGGCTTCAACTCGTACAGCACCCAATGTCCTTGCTTTTGAATCATTCCTAATAATTTCAAACGTTTCGAAACTGTTGTGTGATCAACTCCTAATGATTCTGCAAGTTCAGTTAGCGTCTGACATGAGTCTTCATGCAGTAATGCCTCAAATTCTTCGTCTTCAAACTTTTTCGGTGCGCCAGAGTGTTCTTTATCTTCAACGTCAAAATAATTATTTTTGAAGCATCTAAACCAATCTCTGCATATTGTTTCCGACAGAGCATGATCGCCGTAAGTCTCAACAAGAATTCTGTGTGCTTCAGCTGCAGATTTTTTTTTAATAAAGTGGTGCAGTAAAATTCCCCGCAAATACTCTTTTGTTGGCACGAAACTCGACATGTTTAACACTATGAAACAAAAAGTTGTTTACACTTCGGCGAAATGACAAACACTAAATTTCAAGCTTGCTTATTGTAGTTCCTTATCGATGTGTTCCCATCTTCACTACACGCACGCAGTTCTGTTAACGCTATCCGTTAGAAAACAGCGAGAACTTATTCAAGATCCTTATTAATAACTATAGTGTTATCTTTCAAATATCACTAAGCGCTAAGCGACAGAACACCATCGAGAGATAGGTATACATTTCTTGCTAATCCTCATTTCTGAATTTCTATAATACAAATTTCTTTTATAACAGTTATAAATATTTAGGATAAAATATTCAGTACTTTCGAATAAGATCAACGATTTAGATCTTTTGCAACATCGTATAATAACCATCAACTAAGTTTATTGTATAACAACAAACTTTTATTTATGAAGCAAAACATCCAGAATGCTTGCGACAATTCGAGCATACATGTATCTTGCCTATCTGAAGAATAGTAGAAACGAGAAACCATGATACAAGTAGTACATGTAAAACTTCGAGTGTTACCAAGAGATCTGACGACAGTAGAAAAAGCAATCGAATGGAAAGTAAGATTTTCAAAAAACATACATGAGTATGTGTACCTATATATACACATACTGTGAGCGTAAAAAGATATATAAGATACAAAGTTGCTCTGTTATGAAAAATATTTAATAAACACGACGTTTGCAAGAGAACTTGCGGAACGTCATATAATGTGTAATTGACATGAATTTCTCACTTCTTATTCTTATACGCACTCTTAGAAATGAGAACTCTTAAAAATGTAACACGTTACGGAACACACGACTTGTTCTCACTTTTTTCTTCATTTGCAGACATATGCAATGAGAGAGAGAGAGAGAGAGAGAGAGAGAGAGAGAGAGAGAGTATATATTATACATATAATATTAAAAAACTATTGTATAAGAATTTATCGGAGTAAGTTCGTAATTACTTTTTACGACGTATATATTTAATTAGCGGTCTAAGAAAAATATCAAATTCATATTTATGCTGGAAACTCGAAATCTGCAAGATCAACACTGTTCGGGAAAGGGAAAACATCGTAAGAGCCTTTCGATGCAAATTCCTTTTCGCGCTTGTGAAATATGAATAGCGGAATTCCCCTTGAGATGTTCTTTTATTTGACATGTACTTTTTCTTCATCTTTCTCTTGCTGCCTTACGTATTTATGCCGTCCGATTCGACATCGATACTGATGGTGTGATATACGCGTAATACATGTGTGTACAACAAAATATTCGGTACACTTATATAGTACGTTGAAATTTGATACACCAGCGCGTGTAATATCAGAACATACGTAACCCACAAGGGGTACAATCCATTTTTTATCTCTCGATTTGGATCGTACGCCTCAAAATTCTCTTTTGAATCTTTCCACGTCACGTCGGTTACCCACTTTCAATTCTCCGCACAAATCGTAAAAATGCGCTATCCGTAGGCAGCAACAAGATTATACAATCATGAAATAATAATAAATCTCAAAATATTATCTTAATTTATTACGTAATTAATTAATTATATAATATATGAAACAGTATTTATATTACAACATCGTAATCATTCTACTTACAAAAATATGCTTTGAAAAAAGAAATAGCCGACATTCTCATAAGAATCGTTTAGATTTCCAGAAAATTTGCATTGTTCTCGAATTTATTTTTTTCGATATAATTCCATTTAAATGGTAACAAGACTAATTATCTGAAATGTTTAAACAGTTGACAGCGAAAAAGCTACAGGTGACAGAAAATATTGAATAGCATAAGAATTTATATACGCGCTGCAAAAGAAATAGTGTGTGGTCAAGGATAAAGACTGTTCTATTTTCATTAAAAAATGTCATCATCAACACCTGAAATGCGATATTTAATATTTGCAGTTACTGGATACTCTATTTGTAAATTACGCGAGAATCTTGAGCATCTTTGTTTTTATAAAATTATCGAGAAAAAGCTTCTTTTAAAACGTATCGTATAATCATATCACATATAAATATGGTGTCATATAATCATGTCACAAATAAATATACAAATATATTTTCCTATACAATAAATTACGCATTATGCAAAATAAAGAAAGCATACAAAGTCATCACAAAATTTAAAGTTGTCAAACGATTCTAGAACGTGTATAATTCACCGTGAATATACCATTCATGACGGAACGCATTACGTTCGATCTCAGATAATGTCTGTAGAGAAGTATACAACATAAAATCTCACTTCGTGAATAAACGCAGCTATCAATCGTTTTGTATTGCAATCTTTTCCGATATTCTCTCCTTTTTTCTTTTTTTTTATCATGGTAATTATATTTCAAAAAGATAGAAATAATTTGATATCGGTTATGATATAAAAGAGATTTATGAAAACAAAAATAATAAATAACAAAAATAAATCGCTGTGCTTCGAGCTGTTGTTCCAAGTTTGTGGTTTTATTTAGCAGAAGAACCTTTGCTTTGTTATACGCTTGATTTCTTCTTATAGCCTTAATAATTTTTTTTATCCTTCCAGCTAATCAACTGAGATTGATCAGAGAATTTTTTTATGATTTAACTATTTCAACCTTTAAATACGTAGGTGAGGTGTTTAGAACACCTCAAACAAATTTTATCTTTATAGTTATATTTTTTAATGTAGAGTTAAACTTATATTATTTATATTCTTATGAGAGAGATACCCGTTTCTAGATTTCTACCAATGTGGTTTAATTTTAATTTCGGTTCAACAAACTCTTCATTTTTTCTAGTTTTAAGAATTAGACAAAGACGAAAAGTAAATTGAACCAAGATTAAAGTTAATCTACATTGGTAGAAACGGATCAGAGAGAGAGAGAGAGAGAGAGAGAGAGAGAGAGAGGGAGGGGAGGGGATATAAACAATGAACTTTAAGACATCTGGGCAATACTTTTTATTTCCCTTTTTTAGAATAAGATTTTTAAAAAACTATGCGCTATATATTTTCACCTACTTACTTAAAAGTTAACTGATGGTTGATCCATAGCTGTTACACAAATGTTTTTTATCATATCGCTATCTTTTATATGATAATGACTAAAGTAAGTCAAACTACGGACTGTTGAATATTGTACTTTGCAAATGATATACTATATGAACAATTAAAGTATTTCTTTTAAAAGTTTTTTGCGCACAATTACCGCACTAATTCCTGTCACCCTTTTGTTTTTTAATTTTCAAAAACTACTGTCTTTTTAAGATCCGTTAGTCTATAGAAAATATGTCAACATATTAAGTTATTGATCATTTATTAAAATACGCTACAAAAAATAAAAAATAAGACTCTTAAAAAATAAAAACTTTCTAAAAATTTTAAGAATCCTTATTTTAGACCGCATATGTGAGAATACAATTAATACTAGAAATTAAATAACGGTCTATAACGGTCGAAGCTGGATTTTTAATACTTAAAATAATTCAATCTTGAATTACTATATATACTGTATGTATAGGTACTTTGCATATATATCATATTTGTAGTCATTCGAACTGCGCGCGAATTGTTTTTACGGACTATAAACGCAATTAAACTACTGTAGTAATATCGCGAATTAAATTGACAAACAATTTTTAATAATTTGCTCAATCAGGCATCATATTATAAAGATGTTAATATATTGAAAAACTGTAATTAAATTTATTGCGAAAAATATTACCTCGGCCGAGAGTCAAACCCGAATCTCTTGTATTCCGTACGAGTGTCCTAAGCCTTTAGACTACCGAAGCCTTAGTAATATTCTAACAATTATACATCTCGTATTTAAAATATAGATTTAATATAACATGCATTTATTTGGTAATATAACCAAATTTATTTGGTAACATGCTGTGACTATCGAGCAAACAATATAAATAAAAATCAGTATATAGTAAATAAAATACTATTATATTCAAGAGTATTGTTATGACACACACATACACACACACACAAAACACATTCTTTCATATCATATTACTGCAAGCACATAGTGTACAGTAATATATAACACTGGAAATTTAATGATATATAACATGATTTAATTGAAATAATTAATGAAATAATTGC